CATTTTGATGTTATACCATATACAATGTCGGGATGAACAATTGCATCGCATATTTAGGACGAACTGTACGTTTGTCTTTCATGGCATTAAAAGAAAAGTTGTTCTCTGTCAGTACTTATGCCCTTATGTTAATGCTGTTGAATACCAGCAGAAACTCCACAGCAAACTTTGTTGATAGCGTGAATATGTAAATTGAGTTATGCACATATTGAAATATGTGCATCAGATGATAAGTGGAAACGGAAAACAGATGGAAAAATGTTTATGTGACAGCGTGCTAGGGTTTTGACCGAGCGAAAATCTTTCGCCATTAGACCAACAGAAATTATGAACCTAACCTCAGAGATCAGGCGGTGCCTCATCAGACTGACCGAATGCTTCTCACTGAGTTTATTAACTGCTGATTAACCTCCACGACCTTGAAATGTCAAAAGAAGAAACCCTACCGCTGCAAGTAGTGTTTCGGTCGACAGCGTTGTGAAGATACATCTTCATTGTCGGCTTCGCTTGGTTTCACAGTCAGTAGACCACCGTGACGTCGGTGTCGTTAAAATCGTGGTTAAAGTAACCAACCCAGAACGGTCAGCTTTGCGGTTTGTAATGACTCTCCGGTGTTTGACTGATGTAACTGCAGGCGTTCTACGGTTTTTGCGTACGTAGATTCGATCGCAGTTATTACGTGCAAGCTTATGGCCGAAATTTCTTTTCTCTATGCTGGGTGAGGATCAAATGTCTTATGTTTCATATGCAATATGTTTACTAAGGTATTATTCCAGTCGTAGCTGATATTAGCCATATGGCCTTTAAAGAGCTTCGTATTTATTCAGATATATGCAGCCTATAGGGTACTTGGTAAATTGGCTAACTGTAGTTGGATCCGTCCTGAATCGTATGAAGACTGTTTAAATAACTGACATAACCGTTTTTAATAAATTTTGAAGTACGGAGTCTGATTTTGCACTGGTCAATCGACAATCTCTGTCACGGCTTATGGTCATGTGAAGCACAGATTTCATTTAATCAATAAATATTTTATGGAAGGAGAGTTTGTAGTAAGAAATGATGTGCTAAGATGTCGATCGCAGCGCAGTGGTTTTCTATCATCTCTGAAGAAGATGAAAATATTCTGACCCTAATATGAATTCGATTTGTCTATTACTGCTTCGGTTATCAGAATATTCACACAATAATTTAAGGCTATGATCATTTTCACTCAAAATGAAAATATCATCATCTATTGAACCCCATTGAACCATCAACTGAACCATCTGTTAAACAGTGTAAAGGTTCAAGATCAAGAAGACATGGACCGAGGGCAAAAGCGTTGTAATCGTGGTGTAGACGCTTTTATAACTGCACTGAAGGAGGAACCGTTTTATGTGGCAGCGCTGTTTAGGCTCGACACTACTAGATTCAAAAGACGCATTACTTATGATATAACTGAAACGCGATCTCTGCCTGCTCATGCTGTACCTCAACGCTATACCAAACTCTTCATTTCCTTTTGCAGTTTCAAAAGCGATATCATCCTACAGTGATAAGACACCTTGGATAAAGTGCGCAGTATCGGTATTGAGATTTTACGTATTTTGCATGACACTTTTGGATGCTCTTCCTCAACAGATGAGAAAGTCCAAAGTATCGATCCTCAGTTCCTGATATATTTGATTTCCCAGATGCAGGTGATATATTCAAAAACGGAAACTGGGTCATTTATGCGGGAGTTGAGGACAGAATTCGAAAAATCCTTTGCGGGATGGCACTGCATATCAAATTTCATATGTAAACGCTTTACAACGTTTCCCATCAAGCTTGATCAGGCTTTGGGGAATGAAATCTCATAAAATCTTCAGTTGAAAATTGAAGAATGCATAGATGCGGCTTGTTTATATACCATGCAAGAGACAAAGTTGGTCAATCGGGTGGTTGACCAGTGCCGACATTTCGACTCGCCTGTTGCGAGCCTTATTCAGGGTGGTCTGGGATAGTTTCTGCAGATAGCTGTGTGGTCCGCAGCTATTATAGCGTTTGGAGCCGAAGGTGTACTTTTGGCCCATGCTACT